TATATTAAATAAAAAATTGGATAATAAAAGCAAAGGTCATATGGTAATGAAGTAGAAAGAAGAGTGTAAAACAATTAAAAACTATATATATAGTAAAGATGGCATACAAACAATTTCGCATGTCAAAAGGGTATTCAGTTAGTTAAAAGCGTATGTTAAAAGGAGGATTGGGTAAAAGAGAAGATGGAAGAATAGAAAGAAAGGGAGAGGGGCCATTTTATTTTTGAATATACACTAAGATTGTAAAAGACCTGGGACACCTTTGGGTGCCCCAAGAAGAGTAGTAATTCACAGTGAGTGTGGCCAGATTGTGAGTATTATGCATGGAATGCAAGGGTCAGGAATACTGAATGTGCAGAATGCAGGGGACGAGAGTGTGTAATGCATAGCAGGAGTCATGAGTGTAGAAATCAGGGGTGTGTAACACACAGTGTAGGGGTAAAGACAGTGCAACATTTCCTCTTCAAGCCATACTCTTCCCCACACTCTCCTTCACTTTACCCTTTCATCAAAAATCCCCACTCCCTCTCCTGCAAAAAAAAAAAAATCCAGTTCTAATCTTTATGCTCACCCTCCCCACCACAATGAAAAATAATTTATCCCCCTCCCAGAACAAGTTCCTCCCCCCAAAAAAAACATTTTCCCCCTTCCACAGCGTCCTAGCACAATGCCCCCATCTTCCCCATCCCAGCTCTTATCCCCACCCCCCTCAATTTCCCCTCCTAATACAAATCCTCTTCATCTACCAGCACAAACCTTCCTTCCCTCCAATACCCCTCTCAGAATAAATCCTCTTCCACCCAGCAATTCCTCCCTTCCAGCATAGCCCCCTATTCCAGTACAAATCCCCCTCCCACAAATCCCACTTTTTGAACGAGCACCCTTTCCAAAAAATCCCCCTTCCCAGCACAAATTTTTGACCACCCCCCAAATCTCCCCTCCCAACACAACAGATATGTACTGAGGGGCGCTTTGGGAGCGAAGAGGGCTAGTGCTAGCAGGGGGTGGGTGTGGGGGGGATCGAATATGTGCTAGGGGGCACTTTGGGAAGGGAGAAGGCTAGTGCTAGCAGGGGTGGAGGGGTTGGATATGTGCTGGGGGGCACTTTGGGAGGGGAGAGGGCTAGAGCTAGCAGGGGGTTGGGGTGGTACATATGCTGGGGGGAGAGGAGAGGGCTAGTGCTAGTGGGGGGGTCGGATATGTGCTGGGGGGCACTTTGGGAGGATAGAGGGATAGCATTAGTAGGGAGGGGTCAGTTATATGCTGGGGGGCACTTTTGGATGGGAGAGGGCTAGGGCTAGCAGGGAGGGGTCAGTTATGTGCTGGAGGTGCTTTGGGAGGGGAGAGGGCTAGTGCTAGCAAGGAGGATGGGGTGGGGTTGTTCTTGTGCTGGGGGGGTGCTGTGGGAGGAGAGAGGGTTAGTTCTAGCAGGGAGGGGTCAGATATGTGCTCAGAGGGTGCTTTGGGAGGGGAGAGGGCTAGTGCTAGCAGGGATGGTGGAGGGGTAGGATATGTGCTGGGGGTGCTTTGGGAGGGGAGAGGGCTTGTGCTAGAGGGGGGGGGGGCAGATTTCAAATCCAATCCCCCACTTCTTGTCCTCTCTTTCACCAAAGTGCCCCCTCACCACATATTCTCTTAACCCCCCCCCCCCCTGTCACCAAGTGTACACCTTTTTTAACTTGTTCCTTTTCCCAGTCCCGAGTGGAACACTGTGAGCTGCAGAGCAAACATTTACTGGTGTCCGAACTAGCGTGCCGTTGCCAACAGTCTGGTGCAGTCCATTTTTAATATAGTATTTGGGTCTCAGGTGGACAGAAACCCAGACACATTATTCAAAACTGGGACTGTCCGGTGAAACCCAAACAGGTGGCAACCCTGGGGTGAATAGACAGGCCCTCTATGTGATGCTGTTGTTGTGTCAAAAACAAGCCAAAAGCCACCTATTATTTGATCCACCCTTTCTTTTTCCTTAAGCTTGTGGGACAGACTTAATAAATTCCATCATCTTCAATCAGCCCCTTGCTCCTATATTGTCTAATCTGGGGTCTCACATCTGTGTCCTTCAAATGGTGAACGAATAACAATTTCAACACATAGTGGACTTTTGTGTGGGGGGAAGGTTCTTTCACTCTAATTATTACGAGACAGACACCCACTTCCTAACACAGAGGTCTATCATTATACACAACTACATCATTTCTTACAGTCAGTACAACGATTAGGGGATATTGTTAGTCGAACTGCCTTTGAATCTGTATGTAGAACATGCGACAAACAATATGATTTGATATCAGCAATTTACTCTATGCTAATGTCATCTTCTTCTAAACAACAGTATATGCTAAAATAGGAACAGGACCTGCAAGTGGAATTGGAGCTTGAGGATTGGCACAATTTAGTAGTAAATGCATCCAGAACATACAGTATATGAATACCTCGCTTATAGAGGTAAATTTCAAAGTGCTATTTCGATGGTATAAGGTTCCAACAAGATTGGCCTCCTACGTCCTGGGCGGCTCCCCACACTGTTTTAAAGGTTGTTTCCAAGATGGTTCATTCATTCATAGTTGGTGGGAATGTCCGAAAGTCCACAGATTCTGGATTCGGGTCTACAATTCTATCTACAGATTAACAGGCATGAACTTTAAAACAAATCCACAATAGGCCTTAATGGCCCTCCCAATTTTAGAAGCTCTGCGATGCATGAGGAAGCTAATTTCTTTCGTCTTCTTGGCGGCCCGCATCGTGATAGTTAAGTTATGGAAAACCCCATGATCAATGAAAAACTCTCAACCATCCTCAATGATAAAATTTCACAGTTTGAAAATATTTGGGCGTCTTGGATTACCTACATTATAGGGAATTTGTTGAGTCTGAAAGCTCTTCTGAGGTCCAAGTTTAGAGTATTGTCATTGCACTAAATACCTTTCTTACTCTTTTCTTTACCTTTTTCTTTTCTCTTTCTTCTTTCTTTGACTACACCCCCAGATTAGTTATCTGGAGACTAGGAATTCTTCTACCTAAGGGGTCCTCCTGTTTTGTATGTTATCATGAGTTGATTTAGATGGATAATAACTCTCTCTATTAAACATTCATGCCTGTTTGATATGCATTACCTGAAATCTGCCTACAAAAACTACTGGAAACAAAATGAAAGAGAGAGGGGGATGTACGGTTTACCAGACTGAGCTGTATTTTTTTTTTTAATGGGTAAGGAATGGATATGTGGTTAATTAGAGAGAAAGCAGAGGATTATTGTTGTTAAATATAACCATGGGGACCATATTTTTAAAAAGTTTTAATGATTATGTGTATGAGTAGCATAGGGGTTAACTTCTTATGAGTCATGGTTCCCACGATCCTTTGCTTTATCTCTTCAAAATTCAGGGATGGCTGTCTCCAAGACGTAGCAATAGTTTGTCATGTAGCCAAAAAAAATTAAGGAGGTCAATTTTCTTTCCGATTTCCTAAAGCTCAGATTTGGCTTCTGTAGTAAGGCTTTATGGAGAATCTTACAAATCAGATTATAAACCTTAGTTTATAGTTTTCAGGCAATTGGGCATTTCCACCAAATATGAAATAAAGTATCTCTAGTATTGTATTTAAAGAGGAGAGGGGGAGACTGAAAGAAAAAAACAAGTTAGTCTTACGGGAGTCATATACCAACAAAAGTGTATTTTGTGTGTGGTTTCCTGCACTAGAGCATTAATGGAACAGGCTGACACAGAAGACCAGATTTTATTCCATTCACTAATGTCCAGAGATTCCCCCAAGTCCTGTGCCCAATCAAGAATGTAGTTAGGCGTATTACTAGATTGAGAAGAGATCTGTGAAACATATAAGAGAGATATAAGTCCAGAAGAGTGTAGAGTCGATTTGCAATGTTTTTCAAAGGGTGTCAAAAGAGTTTGACAAGTTGTGATGTTAGAAAGGAGATTTCTTATAAAATCGGTAATTTAAGCCAAACTAGATGATTCTGAAAAAGGGAGGTGCCAGTGTTCCAAAAGGTACGTATATGATTTAACTCTATTCAATGTTAGGAAGTCATTTACATATTGAACATTTTTATTATGCCACCAAGTGAAACGTTCAAGATTTGCAAAAGTGGGTGGGAACATAGGGTTATTAAGAATTCCAGATAGGGGTAGAAGGTGGGAGATCAGTTGGCTAGATAATGTAATACGGTCCCAGCAAGAGAGAGAGTGGCATAAACTTGGATCATCTCTAAAGGAAATTATCTTTCAATTTTTAAAACAAGAAGCAAATAAGCATTGTTACAGTGATACCTAATAGTAGCTAACTATGACTATAAAAATATCCAAAACTTGCCAAACAACAGGCTCCTTTATTAGACATATTGATAAATAAAATCTGCAGTAGAACATATATACAGACTCTGAACCAAGGCACTGTTAGGCCTTGTCCAGATGGGCAAACTTAGGTGTACACTTGTGTGAAAGGCCATGTTTGTCTGCATGAGATGCACAAGTGTTCTGTACATGTGCATGCAGGCAATCCCATTCATGTCACATGGAACACAGTGGCTGTATGGACACAGCCACTGCTCCCTATCAGATATCCTTATAGGTGTGTGTCCTCAAACTCACACTGTCTACATTAGGAGATAACCTATCCACCTTACAGATGGTAAATTTAGAGCAGAGGCTGTGCCCATGCAACCACTGTGTCTTAAGTGACATGAACTGGACTGCCTACAAGAGGATGCAGGGAACATCTGAGTATCCAATGTGGACAAACATGGACTCACACTGGTGTTCACTTAAGTACGCCCAAATGAATAAGGCCTTACCTTATCACGTACAAAGGACTTAATTACAAATTGACAAGACTGAGATGTCTCATATAAGTGCGATGGCAGAAAAAACACCAAGTGGTCCATCAAGTCAGTATATATATATATATATTGGGCCAGCCCTCCAAATCATTGAATTCCGGTGTTCCAATCACCTCCATGGCCTCAGGTGTATAAAATCAAGCACCTAGGCATGCAGACTGCTTCTACAAACATTTGTGAAAGAATGGGTCACTCTCAGGAGCTCAGTGAATTCAAATGTGTAGGTTGCCACCTGTGCAATAAGTCCATCCATAAAATGTCCTTGCTACTAAATATTCCACAGTCAACTGTTAGTGGTATTACAACAAAGTGGAAGCAACTTGGAACAGCAGCAACTCAGCCACTAAGTGGTAGGCCACATAAAATGACAGAGCGGGGTCAGTGCATACTGAAGCGCAAAGTGCACAGAAGCCACCAACTGTCTGCAGAGTCAATAGCTAAAGACCTCCATACTTCATGTGGTCTTCTGATTAGCACAACAGCAGTGCGTAGAGAGAGCTTCATGGAATGGGTTTCCATGGTTGAGCAGCTGCATCCAAGCCTTACATCACCAAGTGCAATGCAACGCGTTGGATGCAGTGGTGTAAAACACTCCGCCACTGGACTCTAGAGCAGTAGAGACGTGTTCTCTGGAGTGACAAATCACGCTTCTCTGTCTGACAATCCGACAAATGGATGTGTCTGGGTTTGGCTGTTGCCAGGAGAATGGTACTTGCCTGACTGCATTATACCAAGTGTAAAGTTTGGTGGAGAGGGGATTATCGTGTGGGGTTGTTTTTCAGGGGTTGGGCTTGGGAAGGGGTTGTTTTTCAGGGGTTGAGCTTGCCCCTTAGTTCCAGTGAAGGGAACTCTTAAGGTGTCAGCATACCAAGACATGTTGGACAATTTCATGCTCCCAACTTTGTGGGAACAGTTTGGGAATGGCCCCTTATTGTTCCAACATGATTGTGCACCAGTGCACAAAACAAGATCCATAAAGACATGGATCAGCAAGTTCGGGGTGGAGGAACTTGACAGGAGTCCTGACTTCAACCCCATAGAACACCTTTGGCATGAATTAGAGCAGAGACTGTGAGCCAGGCCTTCTCGTCCAACATCAGTGCCTGACCTCACAAATGCGCTTCTGGAATAATGGTCAAACATTCCCATAGACACACTCCTAAACCTTGTGGACAACCTTCCCAGAAGAGCTGAAGCTGTTATAGCTGCAAGGGGTGGGCCAACTCCATAGTGAACCCTACGGACTAAGACTGGGAGGCCATTAAAGTTCACATGTAAGTGTGAAAGCTATCGTCACGATACATTTAGCAAATGTGTATATATATATATATATATATATATATATATATATATATATACACACACACACACGCAACTGGTGCATGCAGTTGGCTCAATCTGGCATTCTAGATTCAGAGATGTCAACAAGACTGCCAATGCTAATTACTTAAAGATTAGGCATGTTAACTTTTAAAGGGTTTGAGCTAACGTGTTTGTAAAGTCAGTTTTTGGGTTGACTTTAAAATAACTTATACAGCTCACTAAAACAATGTCCAAGTCTTTGGATGAGCTTGAATCATTTTGGTAATTAATAAAAAGGCAGCCTCTCACATAATTATCAAAATAATATTGTTTTTTTTTTATTTTGGTAGGTTTTTAACATTCTTATTACTAACAAGAAGGCGGAAGCACATGCATAATGAAAACGCATAACTGAGCCACACTTGCCAAAATGTATTTTTATTAAACAACATGGCATGACTTGTTCAAACACAACTGGGATTCCAGACGGAAGTATTTTTATCTGGAGGTGTCTTTATTGAGGCATGTCTCATCAAAAATATGCCAACACTTCTGCACATATGGCACACTATAAATATTTCACTGAATGATCTGTTATCTCCACATACTTACATGGAACCTGTCAGGATGACTGTTACCTGTCAGTTCTGAGGCTTACTTCATTGTTTGCTTAGTCTGGGGGAGCAGGGATAAGTTGTATTACTTACCCTATCCCTTGGTCTGGCAGGCTCCAGTGCTATTTTTTTCTGTCTAAAGCTTCAGGCTCTGTGTGATCCCTAGGCCCCATCACACTTGGTCTCATCACATACATTTCAGGGCTATTAACCCTGCATTATATTTGGAGGAGGCAGGCATGCAACTGCGACTGAGAGCTCCTTAGAGAGGCAGCAGTGTTAGACCAGTCACATGGACTGAGGAAGCCTGCAAGAGCCAGGAATAGAGTACTACATCTTATACTTGCACACTGAGACTATATGAACATTTAACCCTTGCAGTGCAGGAGAGGTGGGGGGGGGGGGGGGGGGGGTCATTGAGATCATAGATTTTGTCTAATGCCCAGGGTTCAGCTTTGAAGTGGTTTTGAAGCTGAATGTTACTCAATACATAAGACGTCAATGCATGAAAATATTTCTATTTATATCCAGACGCTTTTCTGATTTCCACACCACTGCCACAATGTCAAGTAGCTGCTCTCACTCTTCCTTGTTACAGATGGACATCACAGCCTGACCACCTCCCTCCTACCTGGTCCCTGAGGCTTGGATAATGAAGAAGCAGCTGCAAGATAATGCGATCCCTCTGCTCTCTCTTTTCTAAGCAAACTCTCAGTGCCTGAAAATATCGGAAAACAGCTCATGACAATAGTGGCTGATTGGCTTTTATTGAAGACTTACCTACTCTAGGTCCAAATTTTGGTGTGCATCAGATTATCGGATTATAGCAAGCTAATGTAAGCACAGGTTCCAGGCTGCTTTATTATTAATATTTGAAAATACTTTCAAACAGAACAAGAAGCTGAATATACAGTATATATATATTATATATATATATATATATATATACATACACACTATATATATATATATATATATATATATACGCATATATATATATATATATATACATACACACTTTATATATATATATATATATATATATATATATATATATATATATATATATATATATATATATATACGCATACACACACACACACAGTCATGGCCATAAATATTGACACCCCTGCAGTTCTGTCACATAAGGCAACACTCTCCCCAGAATATTGTTGCAATTACAAATGTTTAGGCTATCTGATGTTTATTTGTTTTGTTTGTATTGGTATGACACAAAAAAACTGGAGAAACAAAAATCCCAAATCCAACACACATAACCCCAAAAATTAACTGGACAAAATTATTGGCACCTTCTTAAAATTGTAAGAAATAATTGCATTCCAAGTTTGTGTTGCTCCTGTTATTTGTAATTAAACTCACCTGTATCAATTAACAGGTGCTGACAATATAGAAATCATACTGGCAACCAGCTAAAATGGTGAAACATTTACTCAGTCTTTCTGTTGTGTGTCTCTGTGTGCCTCATGGATTATGGAGAAGAGAAGGAGCAGCAAAAAATTGTCTGAGGATTTGTGGAAAAGCATGGATAGTCTCAAGGTTAGTCTATCTCCAGAAATCCTAATGTTCCAGTGTCCACTGTGCACAACATTGTCAAGACATTTACAGCCCATAGCACTGTAGCTAATCTCCCTGGACGTGTACAAAAGAGAAAAATCGATCAAAGATTGCAATGAAAGATTGTTCAATGGTGGATAAAGAACCTCAATCAACTTCCAGACAAATTCAAGCAGACCTTCAGGCACAGGGTACAACTGTGTCAACTCGCACTATACGTCGCCATCTGAATGAAATGGGATGCTATGGTAGGAGACACAAGAGGACCCCACTGCTAACAGAGAAACATAAAAAAGCCAAATTGGAGTTTGCCAAAACTTACCTGAGGAAGCCAAAATCCTTTTGGGAGAATGTGCTGTTGGCAGATGAAAAAAATTATAGCTTTTTGGTAAAGCCCATCATTCTACTGTTTTCAGAAAAAGAAAAAAAAAGAATAGTCCCTACAGTCAAACATGGTGGAGGTTCACTGATGTTTGCTGGTTGCCTTTCTGCTTCAGGCACTGGATGTGTTGACCATGTGCATAGCATTATTAAATCTGAAGACTACCAAACATTTCTTGGGTGCAATGTAGGGCCCAGTGTCAGTAAGTTGGGTCTCCGTCAGATGTCATGAGTCTTAATGTAAGACTTTGACTCAAAGCACATGTCAAAAAGCACCCAGAAATGGTTTAAGATAAAGCACTGGAGAGTACTTGTCAGGAATGGACTTGCCAATGGTGGTGGGACTCACCTGCCTTGTGGGCTGGCCAGCGGGTGCTCTCAGCAGCCAGAAGCTCACTCCTGCAATCAAGCCATCACCCGAGGCTGATTGCAGGAGGTGTATTTAAGGAATGGCCAGGCCTGCAGTCAGGGCCTTGGTGTATTGTTCCCATGAGCCCCTGTACCTGCATCCTGTCTGCTTCCTGCCTGATCCTGACTCTGCCTGATCCTGACTCTGCTTGATCCTGACTCTGCTTGAACTCTGCCTGCACCGACCTCGGCTACTCCTGACCAATCTTCTGCCTACTCCTTGTACCTTGTCTGCCCGTTAGCTACCGACCCGGCCTGCCTGACTACGTTGTGCTATATATATATATATATATACCGTATTTTCCAGCGTATAAGATGACGTTTTACCCCTTGAAAATCTTCTGAAAAGTCGGGGGTCGTCTTATACGCTGGTATACGGCATGCTGACACTTGGTGTCAGGGCGGCACTTTTTTTGGGGGGCGGCGCAGTGCCGCCGCCACCCCCCCCTTCCAAGGGACACTAAGTAAAGGGGTGGGCAGGGGCTGCTGTTTCTTACCTGGCTCCGGTCCCACGACGATCCAGTCCAGAAAGCACGGCTGCTCCTTCATTCAGTTTGGCCACTGGATGTTCGCGCGGCTGCTCAGCTCCGCCTCCTCACCGGTGATTGGCCGCCAGAACTATAGCTCAGGAAAGGCACACAGGCGGCCAATCACCGGCGAGGAGCCGGAGCCGAGCGGCCCTGCGAAAATCAAGTGAAGGAGCGGCCGGTAAGTGTGCCGTGCAGAGGTGCTGCTGCAACCACATATGCTGGCTGCAGCAGCACCATACTGGAACAGGTGTTAGCAAGTGTAATTGGTGTCAGTGGGAATAGTGCCCCATCATTGGTGTCACTGATACCAATAATGGGGCATTATTCCTCCCACTGACACCAACGATGGGGCACTTTTCCTCCCCCCCACTGACACCAACGATGGAGCACACTATTCCCCCCCCCCACTGACAACAACGATGGGGCACTATTCCACCCCCCACTGACACCAATGATGGGATACTATTCCTCCCACTGACACCAATGTTGGGACACTATTCCTCCCACTGACACCAATGTTGGGACACTATTCCTCCCACTTACACCAATGTTGGGACACTATTCCTCCCACTGACACCAATTACGGGACACGATTCCTCCCACTGACACCAAAGATGGGGCACTATTCCCCCCACTGATACTAATGATAGGGCACGATTCCTCCCACTGATACCAATGATGGGGCACGATTCCTCACACTGATACCAATGATGGGGCACGATTCCTCCCACTGACACCAATGATGGGGCGCTATTCCTCCCACTGACACCAATGATGGGGTGCTATTCCTCCCACTGACACCAATGATGGGGCACGATTCGTCGCTCTGACACCAATGATGGGGCACTATTCCTCCCACTAATACCAACAATGGGGCACTATTCCTCCCACTAATACCAATGATGGGACACTATTGCTCCCACTGACAC